TCAGTGCAAATTATTTTAATTGAAAAAATGGATTTTTCTGGATGACCACAAATTTTCAAATGGGGTAGAGTTACTAAAACTAATGTAACTTTTTTTTTTTTATTTAATAATCTAAAATATTTAAAAGGAAAATGAATGGGCTACAAAAGTGTAAAAAAAAAAAATAAATAAATTATTTTAAAAAAATTTTTAAAAATTTATATTAATTTTGAGCTTAACACTGAAAAGTGAAATATATATTAAAAAAAAGTCTTTAAAAATTCGATATACCTAAAGATTTAACCTTTTAATTAAACATTTAATGCATAAATATTGAAAAATCACAAAAACTAAACACATTTTATCACTTCAAATTTCATAAAAGATGAAAAAATACACTAAGAAATTGTTTAATTTACATTTTTTGGGTCCGGGGAAATAAACTAAAATGAGGAACCACTAATACAATGCTGTCTTTTTAAGTTTAAAAAAATCGTGTTCGTCTGCATACAATATGCTACCAAAACAAAGAACAATCACTCTCTCATATCCAGAAAATTAAAAAAAGAGAGAAATAAAAAGTTAAACATAAAAAAGATAGTGAAATAAATTTTATATACCATGTTACTTGCTGAGAGTAATGCCGCACTGACCAGCGCTAGTGAAGTTACTCGCTAAGAGTAATGTCACACTGAAAGAGTTAACTTCTCTATACATCCAAACTTAATGAGTCGTTCCTGTGATAAAAAGTCCTAGGAGCTGTTACCCACCCCCTCTCTATATAAAAGTAACATCCAGTCCTTCAAAGCTAGAAGTACAGCAAATGACTACATAATATGCATGCCTGCCCACACTAAATATAAAACTTAAACCTAGTCTTATCTAATAAACATTATTTTTTGTTCCCCATTGATCCATACACCTATTGCACACAGTTCAATAAGATAGTTGTTGTCAAATGTGTAAAGTTAGAATTCTATAATAAAAACATATTATTTTAAGTTTTTAAATTACGTGATACTAATACGTTTGGAATGTATTGCATCAATTGCCTTTTTTACTATTGGGGATTTTTTAAATTGGTCCATTTTTTTTTTTAAAAATAAAAATTCGATATTATATGAAAATATTTTTCATTTTTGGAGTTCATGTTCACTCTATCTTAGACACAAGTTGTGTTGAATGTATTTCATTTCTGTATGTAACTTGTTTCATTTGGTGAAGAACCTCAAGTTAGTTCAATTTAGATTTGTTTTACGTCAATATAGTTTTAGTTATGTTTTTTTTTTTTTTACCTAGCTTTATGTATTATGTTTAACAGAATTGTAAGGTTTCGTTTGAATTTTAAAAACTTCACTCAACAGCCTATAGAACTTGACTTTGACATTCATGCTAAAAAAATCATGGAAACCATTGAATTCAATCCTGATAACAACAAATTGAAGACACAACTGATTTGGGATAAAGTAATTCATGCTGTTTGTTAATGGTGGTGTTTTTACACATTTTTTAACATTTTTGTTTCCTTTCTACAACAGATGAAATTTTAAGAGAAGGGGCTCCTATTCCTCCTGAGCCACCACTTGGTAGTTGGCGGCCTGAGCAAAAGGTAAAGTCTAGAACAAAATCTCTTTTTGTTTACTAACTCTCAGACCTGCCATCAGAAATGAAGGACAGGAGGGAATCGCAATGCATGCGTATTATTTTAAAGTGAACTGTTCCCAAGTAATAGTTGCCATGCCTGTTTCTAGATTATGATAACTTTAATTTTCACCCCCTGTCAAGGCCCTTGAGTGTTTATCTGGGTAAGGTCATGGGACATTTTAATTTGTTCAATTTCTCCAAATATTTCAGCAGTTCTTTCAAGATGGAGCCAGAATAGAAAGTGCCTTCAGGAAATATTTCTACCGAGCTGACCCATCACAGAAAGAAGACACCTATGAAGTAATTGTGTGTCACGCCAATGTCATACGATACTTTGTATGCAGGTAATTTTTTTAACATATTCAGAAGTATAATTAGAAAAAAAGACTAATAGAACCGTCAGTTTGGTAAAATCAAATTAATTAGAAAAACTTGAATAAATATTAAAGTTGCACATACGTGGCAGAAGATATAACAATACGCAGAGCCATTCTATACTTATATTAACTGCTACTGTGAGATATAAATATATTCATTTAGTCTTAGTATTAAATCAAATCTTTATTGATATATTTCATTTTGGCATTTGAATTACTTTTCTTGTTCATAAAGTTGTCCTTGTTTTTTACCTTTATGTTCATTGGTTCTACCCTGCCACTGCAATATCAATTATTGATGCAAATATTTTAAGCCACTTGGCCAAGCTTAAACACCTTGTTTCTTGAAGAAAAAATAAGGAAGGAGTGACTCATTGATTACCAATTCAAATTCGCTTCATTCTTAGTCTAGAGAGTTGGGTTGGGTTGTAATAGCCTATCCATTATTTCATTTGTTTGGGTTTAGTGCAATCTGATCCCAGCATTCTAGTTTGTGTATGAACCTTGTGGCCTAGTCTAGAGAGTTGGGTTGGGTTGTAATAGCCTATCCATTATTTCATTTGTTTGGGTTTAGTGCAATCTGATCCCAGCATTCTAGTTTGTGTATGAACCTTGTGGCTCAGTATTGTTCCTTTCCTGGGTCTGAAAATGGACTAAATGTCATTTAGGTTGGGATTTTTATTCTGAAAATGGAGTAATGTCATGTAGGTTGGCATTTTTATTACTAATACAGTATAAGAAGCCTGTGTATGGGCCCTATATCTACATATTTCTATTAAGAGTTTATTAACAGAATCAGTGCAAAAAAAGTTTTTTTTTAATGCTTTGAAAGTGGCAGTGCAGATGCCTACTTTGATTTTAAGAAAATTGCATTTTGGTTTTGATATTCAAAATTATCTGCCTTCTAGTGTGTGGATGCACATCCTAAGGAACAGCTAGACTTAAGCTATGTGTGTCTATAGCCTGTAGCACTTAAAGAAAAAAAAAGATATTTCTATTATTTCAGAGCACTTCAATTCCCACCCGAAGCTTGGTTGCGCTTTGCCTTAGCCAATGGAAGCATAACTCATATTTGCATCCGACCATCTGGTCGGGTGTCTGTGAAATCTGTAGGAGAGCATGGACATATAAAAGCCCAAGAAATATCCTACAATTAAGTTTACATTACCTGCAATCGTTGATATAGAACAATTCATGTATACACAATGTGTGTTAATGTGCATCTTCACCATTTGTTCATTTGTTTGTATCTTTTTTTATGAAGTTTCTTTCAATGTTAATTTTGGTTCATGTCAACTTTCATATTTGTACATTTGTTATGAAATTCTGTTTTACATAAGTTAAGATTTAATATTGGTATACATTCATAGTGCTTTTTATACATATGCACTTGCCTATACATTTTATACTTATATTTTATATATTTATTTTTATACAAGTTGTTGTTTATTTTTTACTCTTATTTAAATGTTGTCCAGGATACAAATCAATTAGAACTTTTTTATAATTTTTTAAAGGCAGGTTTCCATGATTCAAGGATCATTTCCCAGCTACAATCTTAGTTAATGGATTGCAATATTGTACTAGTCAAACTTTTCATATGTTGTACAAATACACACTAGAGCAAAATATACTCTTAACCAATGCTGAACTTATGGAAATCAATCGTAATGAATTAAAGCAGTCGTTTACACTGATCAAATCTTAATTTATTATTTTTCTTATGGAATGAAAGTACGGTATTAAAATTATTTCTGTTGCATACCCCTCAAATATGCTTTAATGTTGTTGTTTTTTCTATCCCTGCTATAGCTCACACTTTGGTCATAGTTTGACATTAGAATCAATTATTTTGACAATTTTCCATTAGCCTATTGAGCTAAAATGTCACACATAAACTCTTCCTGCATGACAATACATTTTTTTGTTTAAATTTTAGAAAGATCTCATCATTGAAATAACATTATCTAAAAAAAACAACAATTGGTGGCTACTTTAATTTCCATTCATTGAGATGTTATTCATGGTTGTTGAATGGCCTGCTAGCTATATTGTTAAGAGCGTCATGGAAATAGCATAAATGTCATGGCTTTGATTCCTATATTGGCCATTTGTTGTCATTTTACAATGATGAATACAATATGAAGGTTTAGTTGACTCTTTTATTTCAACATGTAGTAGGAGTGATCTTTTTTTTTTGTTTCAAATTATTTGAAAAGAAACCTACAATACATTAATAGAGTTTAGGCTATGTCGTACCCTAAGACATTAATATTTACCAAATGTATTTAATCTCCTTGGCTAAAATTTAATTTGGCTCAATGAAACATTCGTAAAATTAATTTAGAATTTGTTACAGGTTAGTGATCTAAAACTACCCAATCATTATAATGGTACAATAGTATATATTTGTATTATTTGAGTTACTAATGTAAACTTAAATATCCCAACCAATGGTTTTCTTTACAAATCATAGGTACTGGGTGCGTTGTCATACTGGATACATTTATATTTACTTCAGATTAAAAACATAATTATTATAAGGATTTGTGGCTTTTTTTTCATTAATATTTAAATATTAGCAGCTCCATTTTAACTTTAAGCACAAAGATTCTATTTAGAATTAATGCAGCAAAATGTTTGATTGGCTTTTATTTCTAATTAGAGCTCTTCAGTTCCCTGGTGAAGCCTGGCTCAGACTGTGTGTAGCTAACTGCAGTATGAGTTTGATTACGATTCAGCCTGATGGCCTAGTCGTTTTGGAAATGATGGGGGACCATGGACATATTGAGCCGGAACATATCACATTTCACTAGCAGGAATTTTTTTTATGTATATGCTATAGTATATTCTAACTTTTTATTTTATAGAACATTTGTGATATTAGTTAATTGCAAGATACATAGAATAACCACTACATATACTAAATATGCTGCCTGATACTCAGGTTTGACTGCGTTAAAAGACTTGCATTATTTATTCAATAGTAATTTATAATGTGTGTGTATTTTTAAAATGTTATCCATTGAAGAGTCACATGAAATTCTGTCATATTCATCAAGATTTTTTTTTTTTTTAAACAACCATGATCAAATGTTAAATGAAAAACTTTTATAAAGTTTTAGCCTATTTTAACATACACTGTATTTAAGGGTGTCAATTGAAATTGGGGTGATAAAACCTTAGTGTATATTAAATTTACTTTGTTTTGATCTACTGTTTCTAGCTTTTGAAAATGAAAAAAAAATGTGTAGCATGAAATGATTTTGTAATAGCAGTTGTAAATGTGTTGTTAAATCTAGTGCCTGTTAATGATGGTTACAGTGTTGAACTTGGTACATTAGTTTATTGTTAAATGATGCAAATAAAAAATCTGACTTAGATTTGTATTCAATTTTTTTTATTGATATACATTCATATTGACAGTAAAAATATAAGTAGTTAGAATATAAAATACAATATACAATATTAGAAAGGCTTCAAATTCTTAGCTGTTTTTATCAATCTCTTTATTTAATGCTAGGTGTTCTATCTGTACACAGTTTTCCAATAACCACATCTGTAGGAAAATTAATAGAAAAAAAACAACCAATAATTATGCTACTAGTCACTAACACTGCTCTTTACATTTTCAAATACAAGTTGAACTAAAGAACACATTGAAACTCTTTATCTATTATTTTACTAAATGAATCCAAGAAATAATTGCTGGGAATAGATAATATAGTTAACTGACTACTAGAGTAGTGTGTCCTTAAGTTTTACCAAGTGTGCTGTTTTAACTAAGATAGTGCCAATAGTAACAACATGACATGGTGACAGAATGGCATACAAAAGAACTTGAGGAAAGTATGTGGTTTAGGATATATCTGAAAAGATGTTTACTTATCCCCAACTATTGTCAGGCATTAGAGTTGGCCGGACCAAGAGGCGCCCTAAAAATCCCCAAATCCTAGTCCTCATTGAGGTGGTTGGTCATTGTGCTGGCCACATGACACCCACGTTGACCATTAACTACAGAAAAAGATGACCTTTCCATCTTCTGCCCCATAGATCGCAAGGTCTGAGAGGGACACTTTACTCCCTAATGAACATGTTTTCTATACAAGGAAATTGAGTTATATAGATGGATGGAATAGCACACAGTAGAACTATCAAGTGTTGGCTAGCATTCTTTTTAGAGTTGCATTTATGATGTTTAATAGTTTTAGGAGCTTAGACTTGGAAAAATGCTAACTAGTAATTACGATTATAACGTGTGTCCACTAAATGTTTCACCAATGGGACTGAATCATTGTGTTACATTTGATGGCAACTGTATTGAGACTGGTCATGTGGTATGAACTCTGGACTGTGATCTTGATGGTTGCAGTTTGGACCCCTGCTTTCTGACATCCCCCATAGTCTAGCTGGAGGATTGATTTGGGGCTAGAATGTAATAAATCTTGAAATCTGAAGGCAAGTGCTAGACAAGTAAAACAAACCAACCTGTCCTTGACTGTATCTTGCCTCTGCTGCTGCAGCCAACTGGACCTGAGCTCCCAAGACATGGGGGACAGTGTCAGGTGACTGTGAGAAACAGTGTGCACAGTACAGATATTGTATACATATTTCTTCTTGCTCAATGTACTTGGTACTAATACCTAAAAAACAAATTGATGCAAGTTTATACCACAAATAGCAAGAAACATGAGCTTGGGAAACATTGGCAACTAAACACTTGGTCAGAAGGATGTTATGGCAGATAGCCATTAGCAGAACATGGTAGAGAAATACACATTTTCATTTAATAAAGGTAGGTATAAAAAGTGCAACTCTTAATATTAAAAAATGCAATAATTCCTTCATGGAACAAACATTCGAATTGGATTAAAATTTTTAGACCACAATTCTTTAGACCAAAAGAATAAAGTGTCAAAAGTAAAAAAACAAGTGAGCTCGAAGTTAAACATCGTACATAGAACAACTGAAGAGTTTTAGATTGCAGACATTACTGATAGGAAAAGTTTCAGTGTTGAATTGATTTGTATTCGAGACATGAACATCACTTCAGTTGGTCTTTGTAGTGTATTCAAACCTACCAGGACTGTTAGTCACTTGTGTGACCAGCCCTTCAAGACTTGTAGAGTATTCAAACCTACCAGGACTGTTAGTCACTTGTGTGACCAGCCCTTCAAGACTTGTATTGGAAGGGAAAAAATAACAACCAATGTTTCCTGTCATTGACTTGTCTCTTAGAAATGTTGGCATGCACTGCTGTTGGTAGAAGTCTGCAAAAAGAAGTCATAGTGAACAATTATTATTGTTTTTTCTTTAATACAAATAAGTTTTTGTTTTTATTGACTGTTTCTACAGTACATTCTTTATTATACTCAAACAATTAAAAAAAAATAAACATCTTGCTAAGAAAAAGTAAAGTTGTTTTTTTTTTTAAATTAAAAAAAAGCTTATATTGATTAAAATTGCATCATGTAACTGATTTTTAATAGATTTGGACTAACAATGATAGATTTGTGTGATTGGAAATATTTTTAATAATTGTTTTTTGCTTAGTGCAACTTTCATGCTTATAGAATGCTTAGTGTGCTATGGTCCAATAATTTATGTGGACTGGGGGGGGGGGGGGGGGGGGTTGTATTTGGGAGAAGGTTTCTGTGGTGCTGTTTTGAATTCCATCTCAGGGTATTGAACTTCCATGATGGAAGGTTGACGGACTAGCTACTGATCAATAATTATAAAAATAGGTTTTATAGTCTTTTTTAAAAGGTCTATATTTACAATTTTTTTGCAAATAACCTAATTCTCTAGTACATTTCTATATAAAACAAAATTAATTATGATTAATTGGTTGATTAATTGGTTAAATTTTTTTACATGGATGGTGAGGCCCAAATTTATGCAAGCCTTGGCGAAGAATGTCCTTTTCATCTGAGGCATTTAGGGCACAGTCAAATAGCAGGTCTTAAGTCTTTAAGCATTGAATATAGACTTGCATCAGTGCATTATCGTATGTCTACTGCAACACTTTCTTTGCATAAGACATCTTTCGACATGGCAATTAAGCTGAAGAGTGTTGGAGCCAGCACACAGTGATGCTCCACACCATTTGAGACAGGAAGAGGCTTAGAGTAATCTCTGTTGCCTTGGACTCTTACTTGAAAGTCATCATGAAATTGGCCGCACCATTGTTATGAATTGATCTGGGCAGCTAAATTTGGAAATAAGACCTTCATGGCTGTCATTATCAAATGCTTTGGTCAAATTTATGAATATGAGGTACAGAGATTTAATTTTTCCTTTCTGCATTTTTCCTGAAGTTGGAGGATAGCAAAGAACATGTCTACCAAACCTCGACATTGCCTGAAGCCACACTGACACTAGGAAGTAGAATGCTATGTGGTGTTGTAGTCTGTTTAACAGCACCCTTGCCAGGATTTTACCAGCAATGGATAGGAGGGATGTGCCACGATGGTTATGGCACACATCTATTTCCCTTCCTCTTGTAGAGATGAATAATTTGTGAACTCTTGGGGTAGTTTGTTGTGCTCCTACATTATCTGGTAGGTCTCTGTGAGTTAAGCTATCAGCTCTGACTTGCCAACTGGATATATTTTAGTAGGAATGGAGTCTAATCCTGGTGCTTTACCAGTTGAAAAGTTGGATATGCCAGTTATTAATTCACTAAGTCAGGGAGGATCATCAAGTGAGTTGTTGATTGGTGCTAGAAAGGCAATGACTTCGGCACTGATGTTTGATGGGTAGTTGAGGACGGTGCTGAATCGAGTACATTCAGAATGAAAGTGTTCTGGGACATTGGTGGTAAAGGTGATATATGTCTAAATATTTATAATATGCATTTACATATCTAGAAGAAGCAACATTTTTGAAAGAAATTTAAGCAGGGATAGTCAAATCAAATGCTAATAAATCCAACCAACCTGAGGGAGCTTTCTCATGAAATATCACATGACTGCAAGTGGAACATCTGAAAGACATCTTGCAACTCTGGGTCTAGTCATAGAAAAAAAGTATCTTTTAGAAAAATATATTAAAAAACAACTTTTCAAAGTAGCACAGCTACAGCATTCTAAGATGTAACGTAATAAAGTTGCAAGTGGACGTTGTTACAATTCATAACCTAAGTTCAGCTTCTTTATTGTGTTTTATTTATTACAAACAAGAATCAATTGAAATGCTATGCGGATTCTTGTGATCATTCATTTGTATAAAATTTATACAATTCTAGCTAGCACATTTCTAGATTTGTGAAAATATCTTCTTGAACAAAATTTTTGGTGACTGTGACCGGGGTGGCACCTTATTCTTTCATGTTTTCACTGCATTCTTTAAACAATTTTACACAATACCATTAATGTAAACAATATTTAAATTTTGATTTGGTAAATATGATTAATCTAAATGTTTGCAGTGAATTAACAAATCAGAATGCTATTCAAAAAAATTCTTTTACAATCAAATATTGTGTAAAACCTCAGCTTAATCTCTAAGTGGGACATATTGAATGTTAGATTGTTTTACAATGGAAGGGCTTCTTGCTGAAGTTATCTTTTTTTTTTTTTCAGATATCCCAGAGTCCACCTAGCACTGGTTAATGTGGACACTCATTGAGATGTAATTTTTCATTGTGATGACATGATAACACCTTAGTTAAACCTTAGCTACAGCAACATACCTTAGATTTTACAAGTGTAAATTACTTTATTTATTATCTAAGTATTAACCCACCTTTGTAGAACATATGTAGTTGGCTCCTTCTTCCTTTGGCTTCTTTTTAGCTGAATGGCGAAGTGAAATTTTTCTTTTCTTGGTTTTGCGTCTAATTACAATGTGCTCTTTTTCAAAATTTTCTTCATCAGGGTCTTCTACAAATGAGGACAAAGGTGATGTTCCTGGTGTTTTAGGACTTGCTTCAGCTGTAGGTTTGCTGTTAGATTTCTGTGGTGTTGCCTCAGTTGTAGGCTTATTCTCCGGTTTATGTAGGATGAAAATATTTGAATCAATTGCAGTGTTACTGTTATTAGATTTCTGTGGTGTTGGAAGTTGAGATATTTCTTCTGGTTTGTCTTGACCTAACACAGGAACAATGCGAGTCTTAAAAAGCCTTCTTTTGTTTCTTGGAAGAACACGAGGTGATTCAGCAAAAGATGGACTTGTAGGCTGGTGCATTATGGGATTAGACTTGACTTGATTGGGTGAGGAATTATCAAGACCGTTAGATGCATTAATTTTAGAGATAGCTCCAATCAAGTGACTTTGGCTGCTTTCTATGCTTTCTATAGATTCAGTGGAAATTTGTATTTTATTTGGAGAGTTTTCGAATGATGAAGTTACAGCAGATGATATTAATGACAAAGGAACTG